CTCAGTACCGATAGTCAAGCAATAATTATTTATTATAATTTTTTCATACAGGCAAAAACAATTTACTCATAAGAAAGATGCAACTTCGTTTCGGTGCATTTAGCTGCACCGGGTCTGGTGAGAACCAAAATGGTTACGAACAATATTTGTTCATAATCAGGACGCACGTGGAACATCACTTTCTTTTTTCTATTTGATTGAAAAAAAAACATTTTAAGAAGGGACTTATAGGAATAAAGAAAAGATAGGAGAGGCGGAAGGGTGACTGAGTAAAACAATAGTGCTCTTTGATATCAGTTTGGTGAAGGATCGTTGAGGTGTTAAAGTGATTACTTGAATAAATTTTAATAGGCAACAACGGTCAAGGTTTTAAGCACAGCAATTACAAGCCTTCTAAGAGTGAGGGATGGGGGGAGGAAAGGTGAGAATAGGAGTGAATAAGACAATGAATGCGGAAGTACGCATAAGTTCTAGGCATAGTTATAGTAGTAATTACAAATGTTTTTGTTAAATTAAAACGAAGCCAGAGGTGAACTACTTATATTTAGACTAGGATCATTGCTACTAGTTTTGTAATCAAAGTATGTATTTGGTAAATTACTAAATTAAGAGATGGAGATTTTTTTCTTGGTATGATAAATATATGTTATTTACTTTTTTTTAAGAAGAAATGTTTTAGTTCAGAATTTAAGATATAATTGGAAAGGAATATAAAAGTGTGGGATATTAATATAAATTTATAAGCCAATTTGGAAGGTATAACTTGTAGAATAAGCGTGGATTTAAATGAGTTTATCTGATGCTATTACTAGTAATATATCTGTGCAAAAATATGTTAAGAATCATAATCTAAGATAGATTAGAAGAAAGGTATATAAGATGGTAGAAAGTATATCAAAGAAGATGAGTTATAATTTTAAACGTTTAGAGTTATTGATTTGGAAGTTTAGCAAAATTGTAATGTTAAATCTTTAATACGCCTACAAAAAAAAGGTGGTTTCAAATCTTTGATTTAATAATTGGCTGTTATTCAAATGTTTCATAATATATATTTTTCTGCAAACATAAAAAACAAGGTTCGTTCCAAGATTTGCTTGTTTTACGATTTTACATTTAACCTTAGGTGATTTGCTTTCCCACTTCAGTTTCCAAAGGTATTTAGAAAGTGTTTTTATATTGAGTTTGCTTGTACTAGTAAAAAAGGATATGTGATTGTAATATCGATCCTTAAATGATCTTCTAGTGGATCCCACATACAATCTAATATATTTGGGCTTCTCATTTGCTGAGATATGATATAGCACATATGTACAATGTATTTCGTTAGGCACCTCTTTGATATTAAACATTGAGCGTGGATTCTGTAATTTCATAGTTCGGTTACCTGGTGTATATTATAATTTGTGCTTGGGTTACGTTTATTCTTCAGAGTCTGTCTATATTTCTGAGATGAGGTATTATGTACAGTATTTACATTAGTCGGACTATTGTGCTCATCTTTGTCGCCATATTTGTGCTCATCTTTGTCGCCATATTTGTCACAACGCTCCGGCCTTCTTCAGGTGTTTGGAATTTCGAACTGAACTTTTTATTTCGATCACTGGAGTAGTTCCACGTGACATGTTTGATGGATGTCAGTTATCAGTTATCTCCTGCTAATTTTCCCTCTGAAAGTTCTCCACTGCCTTAACCGGGTATTGAACTCACACTCTTTGGGTCTGTCACTGGATCTAACCACTGTGCCATGGGTCCTTGTAGATAAAGGCGTTGGTTAGAAAAGTGTTTGTTAATCCAATTGAAAAAAATTGTTCCAGTTTGGTAAGGACTAATTTGTTGAAGGGAGGTGTATAGCAAATTATTGTTTTTTTTTTTATAGAGTAACTATAATTATCCGTATATTTATTTTCGTAAAATTTGTAGCGATCCCATACATGCATCAAAATTTTCCTCCGATTTCTTTATCCATTGTTTGTTGTTTGGATTATTATTGACTTTCTACAATTTATGATGCTACCATTTCAACCTTTATCGGAATAAAATTAGGCAAAAGTCATTTTGAAAAGTTTTTTGCATATAGATAGATAGAAGTCCACAATGTCAAATTGAATGAAGGTACTGTTGTTTTTGTTACTGGGGCTTTTAAACCAATTTAAACCAAGTTTCAACTAAATTCACCGAAATGAAGTTGCATCTTTGTCGTGAGTAAATTGTTTGAGTCTACATGAAAAAATTATTATTATAATATATATATATATATATACACATATATATATATATATATAAAGGAAAAAGATAGCAGGAAAACTGTAAATTTAACCGATTCGTATCCTCATATTTAAAATTTTCAAGGCAAAAATCGAAATGAATTTATTGCAACAAAGTATCTATAAACAACAAAATATATCATTACCAAGTAGAAGAATTTAGAAACGCTACTTCTATTCTAGTTGCTAACGATATTTTGTTTATTGTTTAAAGACACTCTGTTTTAATAAATTCATTTTTTGTTCTTGTGTATAGTTCAAAAGTTTGATGAAACCTATGCTAATTGTTTTTAGATTGGCCCAAAAATTAGTTGTTTTTACACTGCATAACAGAAAATTATTATACATTGTTAAAAAAAAGTGTGACATTTGTCACACTTTTTTATGACAAAAAGAAAATACGTATTTTATGATTAAATTATGCTCTCGTCAAAATATGTTCTTTTCGATTTTATTACTGCAGGAGAAATTTTTGGCATCCGTTCTAAAAGTTTCTCAGTTTATAATTTATTCCATTCTTTTTTCAATGTATATAAGAAAATCTTCTGATTCTTTTTTTCAATCGTATGTCAAGTTCATCCCATGCTAATTCTGGAGGTGGCTTCAAACTTTTGAATTATAGGATATATATATATATATATATATATATATATATATATATATATATTTATATATATATTATATTATAATTTGTTTTAAGATATTAAAACAAAAATATGTTAAAATCGCTACACACTGGCAATTATGTTTCAAACTATTTATTTCTCTCCTCCGGCGATGGTAAACTACTAGCGAGCGGACGATTAATTTAATTTCAAAAGCAGAATGCTTCTTCTTTTATCGCGAAATAGGTCATGACACGAAGTTATCTGCATTTAATTCCTAGACAATTTCATTATGGACAGATACATATGGTTATATTATTCTGTAAGATGTGTAGAAGTCTGGCGTTCAATATTCGTATGAAGTGAAAGCGAAAGTGGTAGGGAGATAATTTATCATAACGCTACTTTAGTTATATGTTCGCTCAGATTCCTACATAGCATTATGTATTTGATATATAAAAGAGCATTTTAAGAAACTGGTAAATAACAAACTTTTGAAAAAAAAAAACAGAACATAAATACAAAACTACTTTGGCAAATTAATATTCAACAGTTACGGAATGAGAATCTATGTAAGATGTTAAGTAATCAATGCAAAAATACTAACTAAACATCTTTACATCTATATAAGATGTTAATCATACTAACTAAACATAAATACAGAATGGTATTAAATCAAAATGAATCTTACAAATAGAATAGTATGCCCTATAACGTGCACCACAGTTAATCCATTGATTATTACTATAAGAAAATTATATATATATATATATATATATATATATATATATATATATATATATATATATTAAAAAATTCATTGTTTAAAAAAAATATTGTAAGGCAAAAGGTTGACTATGCCTACAATTCACAGCTAATTCATTTCTTTTCTTTAATAAGGGTTTTTTTTAACAGAAAATCTCATAAGTTATAATTTTTCATGTAAGCATACAAAACAGGCTTAATTTAAACATCTACATGCTCTAACTTTCTTTAAAATTTTCCATTTTACCTTCTGAGATGTATTAGCTTCTTTTAAATTTCAAAGTTGGTACCATCTAATCTTAAAAGAATTCTTTTTACTACCTATATAAAATTTTTCAATAATCGGATTATCTATGGTAGAAATAGACAAAGAAGAGAATTGGTTAAATGTCAGTTTCGTTATGAACAATGGCTAGAATATCTGCAATTGCATTGGTTAATATTATCAACAGTATTTATCTTGGAATATACATTATTAACTAAAATTTTGAATTGCTTTAAAATTGTATTATGGTGTTTCTTTATAATCATCTCAAGATTATCTGCGCAGATATAAATTTGTTTTAGTGTGTTTCTGTTAAATATTTTTCTGAGAGGTTTATTTTAGGGAAATGTTTATCAATTAAATGGAGGAAAATCTGGCGTAAATTTGCATTTACCAGTTGGTTAAATGGGTTTTTTTACCAAATGATTTTCCTATTCCTATTTCTTTTACTTAGATCAGTATTATCATATTTTCTATACATGATTTCAACCTACCTGTAGCAACTATTTTTTAATCAGAATTATAAACACCGCTATATTTATCAAAGACATATATATATATATATATATATATATATATATACTCTGCTCATAATTGTGAATAAATGAAGTGATGTCATTAATTGAAATCTTGTCGCAGCTACCTATATATTATATATATATATATATATATATATATATATATATATATTATTCTTTAATTCTTAAACTGTTAGAGTTTAATACTTTAGACAGTAATATAGTTTCGCATCTCAGGAGATGAAGATATAATGTTGTATCACTGGCGATGAGAAAACATATATATTCAACAGATACACATCTATATTTTCCGAGAATAAGTTTCTCTCTGTGTACTCCGTGAAAAGATGAAACACACTAGCATATCGTCAAAATGGTTCAGCCTGGAGCGAGAGAGGCAAGGCACAGGATAAATATAATTTTATTAAATTAAATTTTAGAATTCCTTGAATTTAAGTTATTTTGTTCGGACAAAGTAATTAGATTAGCACCAGCGTTCTTTTGTATATTTCCTTGCCTTCACACTTGTTTTCATATTTTGCACACGTTATCTTGTTTCTTTTTTTTTTCTTCAGGTAACTCCATGTTTTTTTCTTGTTATGTGAAGATTCCCTTCATTTTATTTTGATATTTTCTTTTCTGTTCATGCTACTATAAAATTACTATCGGAAAATTACCTGTTTGTTTACTTTTTCGGCGTTTTGTTATTCGCTTTTACTTTTATTTTTATTCAACTTTTCATTGTTCTCATTTGATTTCCATTGAATTCTTTCTTTCATTTCCTCTACCCTCTCTACGTCGTCCATAGTTTCACTTTACAGATATCTTCTCGTTTTCCTTTTCTTATTTCAAATGGTTTTTCTTTTGCTCTTCATTATTTTGTGTTTCTCGTTCTTTCTATTTGTTTCCCATATTTCATTCTCTTTATAGGTTAACTTCTTCCCGATTTTTATCTTCCTTATTATTATTTTATTCATTGTTATCTTGTCTTGTCTTCTTTCTCTTCCCTTTCGATATCTTCTTCTTTTTATATTCTTCATCTTTTTTTAGTCCCTATTTTTTTTCCTCTTATTTCATTTATCGCATCCTTCTTTTTCTCTCTTCATTTGCTTCCAAATATAAACTTCTTTTTCTCTTTATTTCAATGTCTCTATTGTTCAATATTTCACTTATCCCGTACCTCTTTTTCTCTCTTTGATCGTTTTAAGATTACGGCCAAATCCAGGAATTAGGATTCTATTTCGACCAAAGAAGTTAAGCATCTTCGAACCCGGTCATCATTACTTAAATGGGGGGACCGTTTGGGAATACTGAGTAATGTAAGCAAACCCCGACAAACTCAAATATGTTTCGGATCTAAGATGAACCTCAAAGGATTGATAAGCCATAAACAATCAATTCAATCAATTTTCTTAATTCATTCAGATTTCATTTTTTTCCGACTCAGTTTGCTTTCTTCTTTATCTCACTTTATATTTCCTTTTTCTTCATCGTATTCTCGTCTCCATTTTAACTTATTCTCTTTTTTATTTTCTTTGTCTTCCTCTTTTTCCGTTTTTGTTTTTTTCTTCCCTTTACTATATAATTTATCTTTTATTTTTTTTAATTTTTATCTTATTCTCGGCTACGTTTCTTTATTTTTGATTGTTTTCTATTTATTCTTATTACTTCTATCTTTCTCCTTTTCATTCAAGTATGATTATCTTCCATTTTCCATTCTTTTATCATTCCAACTTTTTCTCATCTTCTTCATCAAAATTATGCCTCAATATTTCTTCTACAAATTTTTCTTTCTTTTCTTCATCTTCTTTCTCGTATTGTAACTTATACTTGCTCCCTTAAATTACCTCTTACTCTTTTCAATATCTTTCTATATTTTAGTCCTTTAGATACCTTTTTACAACGCTGGTCTGACATCCTGTTCTCATTCAAATTTCTTCTTCTTCTTCTTCTTCTTCTTCTTCTTCTTCTTCTTCTTCTTTCTCTTCTGCCCTTCCACATTTTTAACAATTATTAAAATACTTATCCTTTCCTATTCGCCATTTTCAGCAGCTGGGCATCAGTTTTAATCATATGTGGTTGTTGTTTTTTATTTATTTATTTATTTATTAACATATTAAACTAATTTCCGTGTATTTATTCCCGCTTTCGGTTTTGCAAATTCTTTCCTCTATGTATGTTTCTCATAGATTTAATAAATTCGTGGTTGTGATGATGAAGCTATACTTAAATAAGAATACGGTCCATCAAAATAGTTATTATTATTTTTCTTTTTACAAAATAACGTACGCGTTCAAAAAACTACCTTCTACAAAATTTTTATCTACATTTCCATCTCTTCAGCTATATTATTTTCTCAAAGTCTCTCTCTGTCTCTCTCTCTCTCTCTCTCTCTTTTTTCTCTCTCACACTATATATACATATTAATGCGCAGATGGACGCGAATGCACGCAAACGCACACAATATGCAAAAACATTCAAACTTTCAACACTTAAAAGTGAATGCAAAAAAGATAAATCGAGGTATATAAGTAGTCAGTTGCTGATATCCCCTGAGGAGTGGGCGGAGTATTCCTCGGGTTACTATGAAACTCAGGGTGCTGAAGGTAACATCAATCACCTAAGTGATGAATATATATATATATATATATATATATATATATATATATATATATATATATATATATATATATATATATATACTCTGCTCATACTTGTGAATAAATCAAGTGATGTCATTAATTGAAATCTTGTCACAGCTAACATATATATTCACTAAGAAAAAATATTTATAAACAACCACTTTCAAACAAATTTATCAAGATGTAATAAAAAAAATATTAATTCAAAATTAATTAATATATAGTTAAATTAAGACTTTTATTATCTGAAAAAAAGAGACAATTTTCTTGAATATTTTCTCAGGGGTTCACGTACTTTAGCACCGCACACGTGTGTGTGTTTTTGTGTGCGTTGTATTTATGTGCATGCATCTGTGTATGCGTATATATATATATATATATATATATATATATATATATATATATATATATATATGATTTCGTTAGGTCAACGAATACTCGTTATCACTTCCGAAATGCTCGTTGTAGTTGAGACTTTTTAACGCATGAACTGGTAGTAATAACGCCTTCGAATAATACTCGCACTTGTTCAAATAGTAATCGCCGAATAGTAATTTGTATAATGATTAGTATAGAGAAATAGTATAGTGGATACTATAGAGAAAATATTTGTTTTGTATAAAAATACAAAATTGTGGCACAAGACCGAAACAGAAATGGGGAAAAGCTGGTCTTTCACTATTTAATTCCTCGTTAACCACAATCATGACACATTCATTCAATACAATATACTAAATCACCACAAGAACGTGATTATCACCTTCCAATCCTACATGTACCACAATACCACATATGTTAAAGTGACCTACAAATCACCCCATGATGTAAAAATTCATAATGTTCATAAATATATGAAAATTTCTTAAAACATGAATTAATGGGGAGGGGATATAAACCCCGAAAAAAACTCAAAATGTAAAATGAAGATAAAACTAAAACTAAACAATGTTAGTAGGAATCGTCTACCCATCAAAAGAATAAGTGACCGATGTATTCTGCAGATAGACAGAATAAAGAAGCACCCAAACTAGTGGAATGGGGAGGGAAAATAACTACCTGAATGGCAAAATCAAAGGCTGACTCAGCCGAGATGAAAATAGAGAAAAAAAAACAAATTAGGAATTAGGTTCATAACAGAAGAAAATGCCTAGAACAAGCCTGAAACAACACTTATCTACATTAACGAGGAACACAAAATAATAATTAACTTAACCAGGGAGGTCAACAGGAATCCACCTCGTTGCGTTAAGGGGACTTAAAAAAGAAAATCATGGTTAGTCCCGGCCACACGAATCAGTAACCCACCTTTTGCTGAAATCTGTAGAAATCAAAAGCTTTCGATCAGATATGTTTTTCAACTTAAGCTGATCCTCATACGAATAACGATCATCTTTCAAGATTCCCTCCTTTCACGACTTCCACACCACCATTCTTTCCACGGCTAGCAACGGAAAAAAAGCACCATCCGCTTTACCCCGGAAAATGGGGGCGACACATTTGACACGCGTACTCGATGAGTACGAGCCGAACGGGAGCAATACGAGCCGTCACCTCGCCGACATAATCCCAGAATCGTTGCACCTGAAAAGATAATGTTAGAAGAATTGTGAAACCGTGTCCTTTATGCCAAGGTCACACTGATGACAATCTAGCAAATCTGCCTCACCTCATGTGAAGCTTACGTCATTGAGTGGTAGCACGTTCCATATCAATCGCTAGATAAACGAAAACTCAGGGTTGCTGAGATGATCTGCCGCTGGTTCCCCAGACCAAAAAAAGTGCAACTCTGATACCGAGAAGCCGAGACGGTCACACTGAGGATCCTTCGCGACTCCCTACACTAATTCATGATAAAATAGTCTCCGAGGACGAGAAAGGTCACTGAACCGAGGAATGACCTTCGTGGGCGACCGACACTCGCTGAGGAAACTCGAAAACCCAGCCCAACCGCGACTGCTCTAACCCCATGAAACGGGGTGGGTAGTGATGGTAAGGCTGAACTCCGGGCCCCAGACCACAGCCCAAGTATGCGGACGGATCCATCAGTCCAGCCGAAGGTTCCCGGAAGCGCAACCCTCTTTCAGGCATCAACCGCAAGCCGGAAGACTTGTTGCGGTTATTCTTGGACCCCGTCACCTTTTTGTATCGTTCAAGCGGCCTCTGCACCCCCTCAATGTCACTGCGGCACAACAAAAAATGGATACGTCATAAGCGTACGCAGAAACCTTAGCTCGAGCGCTACCAGGGAAAACGGTGATTCCTCGTAGAGCAGGACTGAATGACTTGTCTCTAAGCCGGCGAATGAAGGGCTCCAACGCCAAAGCGCAAAGTAAGGGTGACAGTGGTCACTCCTGTCGGACCATGTTCACGACATCGTGAGACATCATTTTTAACCTATTTCTAACTACCTGACTCTGGTAGCGCTTGCTAGCCACGCGCTGCAGTGCTTACTTACCTCTAGGGAAATCTCGCAGCCACCGCCCTGGATTGACTATCTTCTAGAGACCTCATTTTTAGCCTTATCTAGAGAGAGTCGTTGGTTATATCCAGTGGTGAAGGACATAATCTTATCCTTAAGCCTCTCGCGCCACTTACTCCCAATAACCAACCTCACTAATTCCCGCTGCATTAATCTAGTCAGCTGTTGCTGAAAATCTCGCCTGTCCAGGAAGGGCAGATTAAACTTACAGTATCCAGCCATTCTAGGTATAGCACTTAACAACATCCGGGCACAAACGAGTCTATGATCCAAATAGATCTAAGAGATTTTGTCATATTATAGAATTTGTCTTGTCCGTAGAATTGATCAGGGAATATAACTTTATTGTTGTGAGGGTGAAAAAAAATCTCTTACTATAAAGGAAATTTACATTAACCAGAAAAAGGTTTAGACAGAAGCGTATATCTTTTTTTAAATTTGGATTTTTTAATGTAGCTTTAACAACAAAGGCATTTCAATTTCATTTTTGCCTTGAAAAGTCGGAAGACTAATTACCATGTTTCCAAAAAAATTCAGTTATATAATTACATTAAAGGCACTAGCTCTATTTTATTTTAAAGCGAGTTTTGGAATAACTTATTTTGAAATTTACTGAGTTTTATAAGCACATACATCCATAATATTTGTTTCCAATGATACGGAGAAATTTAATCATTTTAACAAGGGGCGGTAGGGTGTTCATTTTTACTAACAACTATTGTATCAAATTTGTGTTACTTTCGAAAAGAGGTTAAGTCTAGGTAAAGTAGGGGTGCCTCTTTCAACGAATTATGACATCCGTTCAACGCATGTCGTCTGGTTTTTATCGACAAAAAGGCTGTCGGCATTTTTTCCGTTAAATTTGTATTTGCATACATAAAAATTCTTTCTAGAAGGGGTGTTTGTATTAGAATACCTTATATTGAACTACAATTTTAAAATATTATTTTTAATTTTAATTACTAATAATCTATACTTCTTTTTAAAACAAATAAATGTAATAGAATTACTTAAATTACTTAAAATGTTTTATTAAATATCAAATATAAGTATTTATAAATCTTTTATCAGCTTTTTTATAAACATTATTTAAGGAAAATATTTGACAATGTCGGCAAAGAATAGCTATTTCATTTCTTTAAGTAATTTTTTTTAATTTTTTGTAAACCTAGTAATGTAGAATTTAACATGTAGGCACAAAGGACATGGTTCATTTAACTTTTGATAAAACCAGAAGACATGCGTCGAATGGATGTCATAATTCGTTAAAAAAGGCAGCCATGCTATACCTAGTCTTAACCTCTTTTCGAATAATCCTTAGTATAAATGAACACGCTACCGCCCCTTTCCTAGTATCCTTAGAAACTAATATTATAAATGTATGTGCTTATAAAACTCAGTAAATTTCAAAATAATTTATTCGAAAGTTAACTTGAAAATGAAACAGGGCAAGTGCCTTTCATTTAATTATATAATTGAATTTCAAATTTTTAGTTTCTGTTTATGAAACATGGTAATTCCTGGGTAGACATGGAATCATATTTTTAAATCAGTTAATTTATAATATTTATGCCCTGTAAATGTCCATTGAGCACTCTTTTGTAAAATAAAATTATTAATAAGATCACCGGATTATATATCTTACCCTTCTTTCTTTTATTATAATATATATATATATATATATATATATATATATATATATGTGTGTGTGTGTGTGTGTGTGTGTGTGTGTGTGTGTGTGTGTGTGTGTGTGTGTGTTTGTGTGTGTGTGTATGCGTGAATGTTTATATTTGTGTGTATCTGTGTTTGCATATATACATACATGAATACATATATATGTGAGTGCGTGTGTGTGTTTGTGTGTGTGTGTCTCATGTTTACTTCACCTAAATTATC